CGTGACTATTGCCTCTATAAGTAAATTAAAGCGCAGTGAACACCTATTTTAATATAAGGAGTACCACAATAGGCAAGGACCTTTATATAGACACATTTAGCCCATCTGTCATGACTTGACTAGCTCATACACAATTATGAATATAATATGGCCAGAGAAGAATAATATTGCTTTAAAAGTATGATTGGAAAAGTTAAAAGTTAAGGATGTGTGTTTTAGGGGGTCGGTGTCAAATACTTTACCACGCAACGTCCTTCTGAAGTTTGTGTTAACAGAACACATTTAATATGGAAAAAGTGAAACTATTTGCACTCCTGTCGAATAGAAAAATACCCATATTATAAGGTGAAGATAGTTATTTGTATAGGTTTATTTAAAAAAATTAAATAACAAATTATGCATAAAAATTAATAAACACAGTCTAAGTGAAAGCCCTTTGGGACGTTATGATCTAAAAACATTAAAATTAAACAATTAAAATTCTTAGCTGCCCTGCTGTGATCCTGGTTGTGCAGAAGGGTTCATCCTGTTAAAAGGGAGTTGTTGTTTTTTTTTCTTTAAAGTGCTTGCACATATTGGGCTGCCTGATTTGGGGGATTTTTTTCAGAAAGCGATAGGGTCTTTACTTTACGGTATAAAGCGCCATGAGGCGACTGTTGTCGCGAACTGGTGCTATATTAAAAACAAAACAAAACTTGAATTGAATTATGACCTATGTTGGACACAAACAGGTTAAGGATGGGAATTTTAGTTTTTGGTGTATCCGTGGCCCTGCAGATTCTGGCCATATTACTTGCTAGCATGAGCAGTATATGTTTTATAGAGTGTCTGTGTTTTGACAGCCGCAGCATAACGGCATTAACAGTCCAAACTCGGAAGTCGTTATTTTTCCACTTACGCGCTCTTGGGAAAAAAACACGGGTCTCTATTTTTGAAAGATATGACCGGAAGTATTACTTTTTATTCTCATTTCTTCTTTGTTCTAAATTTGTTTGCTTATTTGTTTGCTAAATATTAAATGTATTATCATTAGGGTTAACACTGGATCTATAAACAGTTCTACCCATTCTGACGCAAATCTACTCGCTTACCTGTGAAGCGACTGGCCGTTACGGGGGTTTTACTTTGAAAATACAAACACGGAAGTTGCATCTATTTTTTGCGTTCACACCCGAGCCGTCTTCATCTCTCATTGGGTAGCGGTGAAATTTGAAATGCAACCCGCTCAGTGTGGCTGTAGCTGCCGAAGGATGCGGACAAAGGTTCGAAAAGCTAACAGCTAAAAAAAAGGAAACGGAAAAACAGCAGTGTGGTGGCTAAATATCACCGAAAGGCTTTTTTGTACAACGCCTCTCCAGGTATGTAGGTAACTGTTGCTTTCTGAATTTTGCAAATGGAAGAGATACACCACCTAAACTTAGACCCATCGTAATCGCCATGTTGTTTAGGCAGTGTGCGGTTAATAGAGCGTTTCGTCTTTCCGTCAGAAGAAAAGCAAAATAAGCCAGCGTGTCCAACATAAGGGTAAACACATATTTGCGTGAGCATACCAATACAGCAAGTTATCTGTTTTGGTTAAAATACTTGCAAAACTGAAAGGCAGCTAGAAAATCTAGATAATCCACGGTATTCTGTGTGGTTGAACTTTAAAATGTATTTCTTCTCAGAGGGCCTTAAATTGTAAGACACCATGGAGACTGCGGTGCTGAACCTCCAGGGCTTATATGAAAGGATGAGGACGCAAGTTGACCTTCTCAGTGAGAACATTGAACCCAGTGAGTATATCATGGCTACAGGTTCTGTTGTCTTTACCTTCTATTAATTCACACAGGCACTTCAGGCCCCTATAGACTATACTAATGCTCCCATTTCCCCCTAGACTTTATTCAGATGGCCCAAAACTTTGATGA